GCAGGCACTTCACCTCGGGCAGGTCGGCCTTCTCCAGCAGCACGCTCAACTTGTCGGGCAGGCGCAGCTCGGGCGGCCATCCAGCGCAGCCGCAGTGCCTGTGGAGGAAGGTGCCGACCTCGCCGCACAGCAAGCACGAGTCGTCCACGGCCATGGCCTGTTCGTACTTGCGGCTCTGACTCCACTGCCCGTCGGTCACCACCGAGGCAAGGTACCCGCGCTCCACGGGTGTCAGCCTGAGCGTAGACTGCTTGCCAGCTTCCACGGGATTCGGCCCATGGTCCGCCCGCGCCGTTGGTACCTCACCCGTGCGTGGCGACGCTGACCGCGGCCAGCGGGTTCTAACATTCCGAGCTCGGCAAAACTCGTCGACGAAGACCGCTGGGAAGCGGGCTCTGACATTCCGAGCTCAGCAAAACTCGTCGAGGCCGCTGGGCAGCGGGTTTTGACGCCAGCTCAGGGCAGACCGCGGCCAGGCGCCGCAGCGGCGGCGCCCCGCGAGCAGCAGCCGCAGCACGCCTGCCAGGCGCAGCTCCGAACTCCGCCTCCGCCTCGATCATGGAGCGCGCACGCCGCGCCACCTGCTCTTCCTACCCTTCGCGCCGGACTGGGCCACCCGGCGCATGTCGGCGCGGCAGCGGGCCCGAATGCGCCGCCGCGCTGCCCGGGCCGCCTCGCAGAAGTCCCGCGCCATCCTGATCCTGACCACGCTCAGGTTGTCGATGCCGATCGCTCGTGCAGCCTCACTGGCGAACGGCGTCCACGTGCCATGCATCAGCAAGTCGGCCACGTTAAAGACACGCAGGCGCAGCCAGTGCGATCTGTCTCCAGCCTCGTCGAGCGCAGAGACGTCCTGGAGCCGGAACGCGACGCAGGCCCCGAGTCTTTTCTCGAGCGCGATGCGCGCATACAGGGCAGCCCGCCGCGCAGGGTCCTGGCACTTGGACTCCATGACATGCAGCTGTCTCCCAAAGACGCCGTTGCGGCTGACGGCACCTGCTGTGGCCATCTTGATCAGGGGCTCGATCGCGCCGCCGTCGGCCAGGTGCTCGAGACCAGTCCCCTTGCAAACCTCGCGCCACTGCCATGCTTGCACCGCCCGCCATGGGAGGCGCCTGACAATCCAGGGCCCCAGCTCGAACACGCCGACGTCGTCGCCTTCGTGCGCGCGCCAAGTGGTGGCGCTGAGCACCTGCCAGCCGACCCGCTCGAGGGTGAGCCGCACAGCACTGAAAGGCCCGCGCACCTGGCCCCAGCTCTCGGCCCGGCAACAGGTCACGCCGCAGGCGATGACGCGCTGGGGGCCCATCTCTCCCAGGCGGCACGCATCCGCATCATGGTGGGAAGGGGCGTGGCCCTGATCACCGGGTTGACCATGGGCGCCAGCATCAGGGTGAGCGCGCGCGACCGCCCAGCCACGCTGGGCGCGACCGCCTTGCACGACTTCGCCCTCAGCGTGTCCAGCTCCATGGTGGCGCAGCCCGTGACGGCGACGCCGTAGGTCACGCTGGGCTCAATGCCGGCCCTGACAACCTTCCGCACGGCCTTCTTGCGCCCCGCCCCTGTCTCGAGGATCGCCACACGGCGTTGTCGGAGCCCTGCCTGCACCAGCTTCTCCTGGCGCACCTTGCGCACGATGCGCCTGCCACACGAGAAGTCGACGACAAGGTTGCGCTCACCCTTGACCGAGACCACGCCGAGCGGCCTGCGTAGACGGGCTGCCAGGCCATGGCGAACAGCTGGAAGGTTCGCCAACGCCCTCGACTTCTTGACCGCCACGTCGAGGTCCACGTCCAGGAGCAGCGCCTTGAGCTTGAAGGATGCATCAGCGACCCCCTTCGTCACACGCACGAGCCCGCCGACTCGATGCAGCATGAAATCGTCCACGACCACCGCCAGCGACGCGGACGGGTGCTGGATGACCAGGCGGTCCAGCGGACCGATCAGGATGAGCTTCAGCAGCGAGGTCGCGAAACCGTCGCCAGGCAGGATGGACTGCCTAGCCTTGATCACGCTCGAGGCCGCGCTGCCCATGCAGAGGACCCTCGGCGCGCAGCACAGCTCCAGCGTCAACTTGAGCTGCCACAACGGGAAGCCACTGGCGATGGCAGCATCCAGCGGCTAGTGGTGACGCACCTGCTCGAACGCCTTGAGCAGGTCGAGCAAGACGGCGACCGCCACACAGGACTCGGCGCCGCCGCAGTCGGCACCCCCACTCACCGATCGCAGCTTGATGCCACTCGGCCCGCTCGCAGCTGCGGCCAGCCGTCGCCCACCAGTCTGGGCGATCATTCGCCTCCTCCCACCTGCGTGCGATACCACGCCGTAGTCGCGCCTGCACCCTCGCCAGCACCATGATGATGACGTCGATGGGCCTCACGCCGCCGAGCCGCTTCTGGATGAAGCCAATCTTGGCGGTCATGAAGGGCAGGAGGCGTCACGCTCTATCGCCATGAGGATGTCGATCAGGACCACCAGCGCCTCGTCGCCCAGCTCGTCCAGCTGCCGCGGCCTCACGGCGCAGAAGGACATGCCCGTGGTCGTTGAAGGAGCGCAGCACCTTGCGCAGCTCCTGGACTGTGGGCCTCGGCGGCCTCTCGCCCAGGTCCGAAGGCCAGTGCAAGCGCATCTGCTCACAGGAGGTCCGCCACCAGCGACTCCACTCTACCTCGAGCTGCGTCACCTGCTGCCCGAGATCCAAGGGCTCGAACAGCTGCCTGCAGTCGCCGAGGCCGTCGTCGTTCTCGGCGTCGCCGATGGGGCTCGGGTCGAACCCGATGGGCAGGCGAGAGACAGCGTGAATACCACCACCCCCACCTGCGGCCTGCTTCTCGACCCACTGCTGAAACTGGACGGTCCGCTGCGCCATGTCCCGCTCCGCCATCTCCAGCGCGACCGCGTGCGCGCCCGCATGCGGCTGCTGCAGCACGGCAGGGTCCAGCAGGGACAGACGCAAGTTGCTAAGCAGCATCGGCGGAGGAGGAGGAGGAGGAGGGAGGGAGCGACGGGAGGAGGAGGGAGGAGGAGGAGGAGGAGGAGGAGGAGGAGAAGGACTGACCCCCGTTTGCATCGACCCCCGTCTCTCGAACCCCGAGCGCCGCCGGCCGTGCTCCGTCGGGCCCCTCTCCAACACAGGCGAGCGCTCTGCGGCCGCCCATGGGCCGCGCGTTGCCTCCGCGCGGCCGCTGCCGCCCGCGGCGGGTGCCACCCGAGGTCGTGGTTTTCACCCACCCGCCAGGAAGGGGGGGGGGGGGCAGGGGGGCCCCGACCCGTCGCGCCGTGAAAAAATAGGGGACCACGTGCGAACCCTACCCCCACCCCACACGATTTCTGAGGGGGGACGTGGTGGTCACTCTCTCAGTAATCGTGGGGGGTAGGGGTAGGGGTAGGGGTGTAGTGGCGAAGTGAACCCCAACCTCCCCCTCAAAAATCGTGGGGGGGTATGGGGTAGGGTTCGCATGTGGGCCCTGCAAAAATCACGACGGGAATTTGTTCGCCACTTCGGGCCTCTGGAGGGAGAGGGGGAGGAGGGCTGACGCCATGGCTGACGCCATTCAGGCCCGGGAGGGGGAAGGGACGGGGGGAGCTCGCTCAAGCTGCACTCTGTCGGGGAAGGGGGGGGCTGACGCCATGGCTGACGCCATTCAGGCTCGGGAGAGGAGAGAGAGGGGAGGGGAGGGCCGACGCCATGGCTGACGCCATTAACGCCCGGGACGGGAGAGTCGGGGGGGGCGGGGGCTGACGCCATGGCTGACGCCATTCAGGCCCGGAAGGTGGGAGGGGACATCCCATGAGTTTGGCTGTTGACGCGAGATCGTCACTTTCGAATATTTGTTTTGACACAAAAAAAACGCCCCCTGATTAGTTTTGACTATGTTTGAAAACTCCTCCTGTAGAGGGACATGCCCGACTCAACTCCAACATCGGCAAACACTTTGTTACGTCGCAACATCCACGTGGTGTAGGCGCTGTTAGCTCGCGCGCGCGACTTTCGCATAGAGAAACAAAGGAAAAGAGATCGCGAGACAGACCCGCAACCCAATCCCCGTCCCCATCGAGAGGGGTGATGGCCGATGCCACACTATGCAGCGCTGTACCGCCCAAGCCGAAGCAGCGACACGAATCCAAAAACACCCAAGACTGCTACATTACAACCGCAAGACAGGCGCAGGCCGTCCCGAGACGGACCCAAGACTGCCCAAGACCGGCCCAGGACGGACCACTCGCTCGCCATGAGGGCCTCGAAAGGCTCGCCGAGGCGGCCCCGAGCCCTCCCCGAAGCACTTCACACGCCCCCTGGGCAGCGCCAGAGGGCCCCCCAGCGGCCCAAGGTGCACCCTGGAGCCCCCGAACGCTGCGCAGGACCGCCCCCGGATGCTCTGGACCAGCTCTTCCATGACGGCTCCAGGAAGGCCCGAGACTGAGCCCCAGACGGCCCGACCAAGCAGCCTCAGAACATCCCCAACCCAGCCCCAAGACAGCAAACGGGCCACCTGCTGGCTCCGTTGCGGAGGAGGAGGAGGAGGAGGAGGAGGAGGAGAAGAAGGGCGCCACGCCGTAGGCGCAGCCCCGGTGGCCCCGCGGCCATCGTGGGCGCCATGGCCGCCCGATGCTGGTTCTTTGCTCACTTCCGCTGACATCGACTGACTTCGTCGTGCTCACTTCCGCTACGTCGTGTTTACTTCTTGACTAGACATCATTGCCCCATGAATTCTGCCGATTGGTGACGGTGCATGTTCGGCTGCTTGTTCGTCAGTTACTCTCTGCTTCGCTGATGCTACGTGCCCGATGCTGAAAGATCATGGCGTAGTATATGTACTGCAAAATGTCGTATACACGCATGCGCGAACGCACGTATGTAATCGAAGCCCACGGTACGGCCATGATTCCTCCGCCCCGAGCTCGAATTGCCCCAGAGAGCAGCTGGAGAGGAGGTGGGCGGAGCCGAAGGTAGGGGAAGAGAGGGCAGAATCCTCATCCAAACCCCTCCCAAGGAAGGCCTTCTCGGTCACTGGGAGCACGCAGCACGCCTCGAGAGACTGGAGAACCAGTCATGGAGCCGCGAGAGTAGAATGAGAAAATGGGCCGAGGACGAGGACTTGCACGGAGGCGGCGCGCTGAACAAGGGTACCAGCTCATACGTATCTGCCAAGATGGCGAGATCCACACAATGAAGCCACATACGTATTTGCTCGAACCCGCTAATTCGCCTGGTGTCACGGTGCACTCCTGCAATATATATATATATATATATATATATATACTGATGTGTATATATATGTATATACAGATACCCAAGTGATATATAAGACAACATCTTCAATGTGATACGCCGTGAACTCCAAAAACAACATTTCATAACGGTGTGGCAGTACATGGCAGAAGTTCCGTCGAAAGAGACTTCCTGCGTGGGTTTTCTTGATACGAGAAAGAAGGGTTAGCATAATTGGCATACTGTAATACGCTGCGCTGCAGGCCATATCATTACTTCGAAAGGTGCTGCAGGTCCAAGAGTCATGATAGGGTTGTTGCTGGCATGGTCGTTCGCCCAGGCTGTCGGGTGGAGGTGTCCTGTTTGACTATTACGATCTCAACGTATCGGTGATGAAAACATCCTGAATTGTTCCAGCTTTGCGAGAAGATCGTGGGAAAATGCTACATTGGTAAGCGTGTTCGATCGTTTATGATATTGCTCGAACGTGTAGCTCCCAGAAACAATGGTCACACCTGAGGTTTTCTATGGAGAGAACGTGATCCACCGCCGCTTTACTGTGGAAAATTCCCCCCCCCTCTTCGTTCCGAACCCAGTGGTCCCCCCCCCTTCGAAAATCCCCCCCCACTCTGCTGGAATCCCCGGCACCCCCCCCTAACCCCATCCCCCCCCCTCCAAAAAATCGGGGATCACTACAGGTTCGAACCCCCCCGCCTCCAAAAAACCGAGGGGGGGGACAATACCGGTTCGAACATCCCCTCCCCACACTCACCGCCGGCAAACGACTCCCGGGTCCCCACCACCGTCCGCACCACATCCCCCACCGCTGTCCCCAGCACCACCGTCCCCACCATCAGTGTCCCGACTTTTTCCACCACCGTCCACACTGTCCCCACCAGTGCCCTCACCACTGTCGCACTGTCCCCACTGTCCCCACGGTCCCCACAACCGTTCCCACCACGGTCCCACTCTTCCCCACTTTCCCCACGGTCCGCACCACTGTCCCACTGTCCCCACTGTCCCCACTGTCCCACTGTCCCACTGAGCTGTCCCACTGTTCCCACCACTGTCCCCACTTCCCCCCCCCCTGTCCCCGCTTTACCCCTGTCCCATTGTCCCACCACCGTCCTCACCACCGCGCTCAACACTGTCCCCACCACCACCGTCCCCACCACTGTCCCACTGTCCCCACTGTCCCCACCACTGTCCCACTGTCCCCACACCGCTGTCCCCACCACCACCGTCCCCACCACTGTCACAGTGTCCCCACCACTGTCCCAGTGTCCCCACTGTTCCCACCACTGTCCCCGCTGTCGCCACCAGTGCCCCCACCAGTGTCTCGGTATCCCCACTGTCCCCATCATTGTCCCACCACGGTCCAACTCTCCCCATTGTCCCCACTGTTCCCACCACTATCCCACTGTCCCCACTCTTCCCACCACTGTCCCGCTGTCCCCACTGTCCCCATCACTGTCCCACTGTCCCCACACCTCTGTCCCCACCACCACCGTCCCCACCACTGTCACAGTGTCCCCACCACTGTCCCAGTGTCCCCACTGTTCCCACCACTGTCCCCGCTGTTCCCACCAGTGCCCCCACCAATGTCTCGGTGTCCCCACTGTCCCCACCATAGTCCCACCACGGTCCAACTCTCCCCTTTGTCCCCACTGTTCCCACCACTATCCCACTGTCCCCACTGTCCCCGCCGCTGTTCCACTGTGCTGTTCCACTGTTCCCACCACTGTCCCCACCACTGTCCCACTGTCCCAACTGTCCCCACCACTCTCCCCACTCTACCACTGTCCCACCACCATCCTCACCACCGCCTTCACCACTGTTCCCACCACTACCGTACCCACCACTGTCCCAGTCCCCACTGTCCCCACCACTGTCCCGCTGTCCCCTCACCACTGTCCCCACCACCACTGTCCCCACCACCACAGTCCCCACCACTGTCCCACTGTCCCCACCACTGTCTCACTGTCCCCACACCACTGTCTCCACCACCACCGTCCTCACCACTGTGCCAGTGTCCCCTCCACTGTCCCACTGTCCCGAGGAGCGGGAATCGTTTGCCGGCGGCGAGGGGGGGGTGGTTCGAACCGGTAGTGACCCCCCCTTTTCATGATGGACGGGGGGGGGGGAGGAGGGGGCTCGAACCGGTAGTGACCCCACTCCCAGTTTTCGAAGGAGGGCCCAGATGGCCCAAGAGGCCCACAAGACGGCTCATGACGGCCCGAAGACGGCCCAAAGAGAGCCCCAAGAGTGAGAACGAATCAACATTTTGAGCCCTCCGCCCAAAAATGAACTCCGAGACCGCCAGCAGGCCCCCAAGTGGCCTCCAAGATGCCCCCACGAGGCCCCAAAGAGGCCCAAATCAGGCCCCAAGAGGCCCCCAGGAGGCCTCCCCAAAATACGCCTCCAAAAAGGGTCTCCCAATACAGACCCACGGGCATCCAAGAAGCCTGACCCCAGCCCAGGCACGGTAGCGGAATGGGCCAAAGGCCTCTAGATTGAAACATTCAGTTAAGCGCCTGGGACCACCTAATGTTAGGTCGGGCATGTCCCTACAGGCGAATAATCATTAAAGAACAATCACAAATAAGATTCGGTCGACAACAATCGAAAAATCGTCCCCTGACCATTTTCGGATTATTCTCGAATATTCCTCCTGTAGAGGGACATGCCCGACTCAAACCTGATGATGGGATTCATGGGTGCTCCCAAGCGCTGTCGCTTCTGAGATTCCCCGAATGACTTTTCCGGAAGTCTCGGAACGCCGCTGGGGGTCCACGCTTTCAACATGCCCCGCGGTGGCCCCAGGCGACTATCCTGGGACTGCACCGGGAGCCCGTTGGGCCATCTTGGAAGCCGCAGGGAGGCAGTTCAAGGGGTGAGAATCATGGAACATCTTACGACATTGTCGCATGGGTCGAGCATCCTATCCGTGCTCTCGTCGGAAGTGCGTTCAGGACGGTCCACAGAGGTTTCCGGGACCGCCTCGGAACAGCCTCGAGGTTCCAAAGGGTTGTGTCGTTTACGACCCGTGCACGCGGGCGGGAAGGGCCGAAAGCCACCAGAGGTCCGCCGCACCCGTGGCCTGTGGAGCGGTGCCCAGCGTGCTAGGTATGCACTGCGTAAACCAATAGTCTCACGTTTACCAGTATGCGTATACACAACACCAAAACAAAACAATACAAACCAAACCAACAAAATACTATGCAAACCAAACCAACCATAACAACAACAACAACAACAACAACAACAACAACAACAATCATTTTACCCGAACGCGTGGTGTTCTCCCCAGTGCCAGGGTTTTCATACGACACCAGGCAATACCCCCACTTCGTGGGGGGGCATTACAAGCTCTACCAAATATCCAAACGACTCTTCGCGACCACCCAAACCCAGCTTCCCGCCCTATGACGTTGGGACACTTCACTTCGTGGCGTGCGGACGACCGTGGCTACTACACTGGCGTGGGGTACACACCCACAGAACCCAATGGTTTTTGGAGATTTCGGCGTGCGCGCGCGAAGAAAAAACGAATGTGTCCCGCATGGTATTATTTGACAGGGATGATGGCCCTGGCAGGTGCGCAACCGTTGTCGCAGAAGTTCGAAAAAGTTGCTCGCAAAAGCCCGTTTGACAGAAATGTTTAAAAAGTGTTGGGTTTCCTACGAATCCGCAAGAGCGCGCGGGATGAGATTTTGACATTTTTTTGTTGAAAAACCATTGGTTTTTTGATGTTTTTATGTTGAAATCGCTCCGAACACTAAGCTTTTGGAAGGATTTCGTCTTGCGCGCGCGAATGTCCACTTTACCTTATTTTTTGCAAGGGATTCTTGAAATTTGATTATATTAGAACAAGAAATTTCATTTTATAGTGTTTTTTGCAAGGGAAAGCGGATTACAACAAAACAACCGGATCTTGATCACCTCGAATTACCTGAGGCTTCCTCACGAAAATGATGAAAACGTGGCTGCGGCCTAGGCGCGGCGGGGGGGGCGCGCACCAGGGGGCCCAACAATAATTATTCTTTAGAATTAATAATGTTCAACAACAACAACAACAACAATTACTAGCACGTGGGGACACTCCGTTCTCACCAGTGCCAGGGTTTTCATAGGACGCCGCCAATACCCCCACTTTGTGGGGGGGCCGGTTCAAGCTCTACCAAATTTCCAAACGACTCTTCGCCACCACCCACACCCAGCTTCCCGCCCTATGACGTTCGGACACTTCACTTCGTGGCCTGCGGACGACCGTGGCTACTACACTGGCGCATGGGTACAGCGCGCGCGGGTAGAAATTTTGAAAATTCAACAACAACAACGGCACCACCAACAACAACAACAACAACAACAACAACAACAGCAACAACAACAACAACAACAACAACAACAACAACAACAACAACAACACCAACAATAAAAATAGCAGCAACAACAACAACAACAACACCAACAACAACAACAACAACGACGACGACACACAACAACAACAACAACACCAACAACAACAGTATCATCATCAGCATCGTCATCACCAACAACAACATCATCAACAACAACGGAGACGTGTGTATCTGTCTACATCTATATATATGTATATATACACATATATATAGGTAACAACGATGCTGGCCGCGCCAGCGCGCTCAGGATGGAAGTCTTCCATCTCTGAGTGCCCCCCCCTCCTCCCTCCGCCTCCGCGGCCGCCCTGTCTGTCTCAGTCTCATCTTGCATGCTGGGCAATTCGCCTCTTCGGTAGCCCCGTTTAGCTCGGCCGCTGGCGCAGTATGCCTCTGCCTC